AATTAAGTGTTAACGAGCAGTTGGACAGGTGTACCTAATAAAGTGGCCGGTGAGTGTATATATATAAAACGTTTTTTGGTTTTGGTTCTTTTGGGGGGTTGGTGGTGCGCTCATTGGCAGGCCAGAATGTGGCCTGTGGGCCACCAGTTGAACAGCCCTGATGTATAATATCAGTTTTGGAAAACAGCAACTCAGGATAAAATTCCACCTACAGTCACTTTAATCGAATTATCCCACATTGGACCCAGAAAGGACATTTTCTGAAGAACCAGAGTGAGTACAGAGGCCCTTACCAGACGTTTCAGCTTGGCAATATATCTCCCAGTAATCCTCTCATACATACACGTCAATGTTAAGCTACTTTTGAGAAGAAACTATAAAAATAGATCACTATGAAGCTACGTTTTTTTAATTAGTAATACAGATGTGCAGTTCCACCATGTGTTTGCTAATTGTTGCTGCCGCTAGTGGTGGAGCTGTGTGGAGCAAAAGCTCAACTGCAGATCAAGCTCCAGGTAAAGCTTTGAGTAAACAGGCGGTGCTTTKTACCAGYWAGAGTTTAGACAGCTCTGAATGTCTAGGAGATTCAAGGATTTCTCAAACCTGTATGAATGAGTCAAAGCAWCACTCTGGGTATGTTTTTGGTTGAGGGAATGACAAAAACGTTGATTTAGCATAATACCTCCCCCTTTAAAGGAGAGCTAAGCTATTAAATTTTACGTATTTTAAATAAATGATGATGTGGACTTCATCTGCTTACTGTCATTGTATGTTTCACTCCTTGACCTGAATCCATTTTCATCACCTCAGCCTCTGGTTCTGACACGGTCCTTCTCCCATCCCTCTCCAGATCCAGCTAAAACACACAAAACCAAAGTGAAGCGAAGAGGCGTGTTGTAGAACATGATTAAAATGTAAACAGTTTGTTCTGCTCGTGCTGTGATTCACATCAAACACCCACAGAGATGTTTCCGTTGCAGGTCACTGCCTCAGCTTTCTTGGACACACACTGTCCGGCACTCTCCAGCTGGCACTGCTTGCTCCTCGGGCCTTCGGCGGTCTGCCCGCACGGCTGTTGGCCCGTCGGGTCTGGGGGGTCCTGAGCCACGCGTGGGTCACACACCTTTGGAGGTAGCGGCCTCCCCCTGAGAATTTTCAGTCTGATGCAGCTCCCGGCATTTCTGAGGGCCCTGACGGCTTCATGGTGGGTCACGCCCTGCATGCTGAGGCCGTTGACCTGGAAGGACCGGGGTCATTTAGGGTGAAGGCAACAGCATGTCTCAGAGAAACAGATGTGGGGGGGGGGGGGGGGGGGGTCACAGACACACACAGGTTGCCTACTAAAAATACAAATAGTCTAGACATTTATTTTGTTCTTCATTTCCTGTTTGTTAGGCTCAGCTTGTTGGACTCCCTGACTAAGAAAGTCTGAGTGTCCTCTGTTGGTCTTATTACGCCCCCTGCTGGAGACGAGAGAAACACCAACTAYAAATCACTAAATTTACACTGGATGTTTGTAGTTTTGTTTACCTTATAATTTATGACTAACATCTTACATTTTGCTGTCAGTGAAGCAAGGATTATATGTCTGATTWAAAAAAAAAATCGCCTACCTCCATCAATCTATCTCCAACATGGATTCCAGCTTTTTCTGATGGCCCTCCTTTTGCTACTCGGGAAATAAAAATGCCCTGAAAGAATGCAGACGAATTAGCCTCGACATAGTTCTGTTAAAGCTAGTGCATATTTGCTTAAGATAGTTTTGAGACGTTTGATAAGTTGTATCATCACCTGCCATTGACACTTTTGAAACTAACTATAATGCTTAAAGGAGACRTATCATGCTTTTAAATCCCTCTTTTTCACTAAATCATTCAGTTGAGGACTATATAAAAAGGAACTGCAGTGCTTGGGTCTGAATTCATCCTAATTGTAACTGCATATCACCCCTTTTTCTGAGGTGTGTCGCAGATCAACTCGTTTTGAGGCTGTCTCTTTAAATCCAAACAGGTGCTTCACACCCCACTTCACATATAAAGATATGAATGCAGCACCTGGAGACCTAATTCAAATTTTCTAAACTTCTAGTGACTCCAAGTACACAACAAAATGTATTTAATGGCTAAAAAACTGAATTTTGCATGTTTCCCTTAATACCATCACTTTGATTTCAAGTGGATTCTAATATTTTATATGACGAAGTCTTATTTTGTACACCATTTTTTCACAGAAATACATTAATTTCAACAAAATAAATCCCAAATGCAAAATACTTTAGTTCTGGTGCTGCTGTACTCGCCTCATCATGGTCTTTGTAAGGCAGAGAACCTTTTCCACCTGCAATGCTGATGCCCAGACGACCACTTTGACCCACCAGCTTGATCTGCAACTAAAAAAATAAAAAAARTTCTTTAACAATAAATGTAGACACATGCTCTTCTTTGGCCTGGTATGAAAAATGGGATGATTGACATGGAGTACAACCACCAGCGGATTCAAAATGGCCACAGCAGTAAAATCTGGCATGGTAGTAGCAGATATTTATCCCCAGTACATGTTCTGAGCTCTGACAGATCAGCAGGTGGTCAACTTCACAATGGTATCACTGATCAAAGGAAGTCTATAAAGCAACATGAACTTATGAACAGAACAGACCTCGTCAGCTGGTTCAGTGTTCTGCATGCTCTTCTCTACACCGACGCATCGACAGCGTGCACTCCTGTTGGCAGGAAGCATCTGAGGTCCCCTCTGCAGACGCTCCTTGTTTGCCACCCAGCTGAAATGCGGGATGGCCCTAATTTGGCTGCTGGTCCTGGGGGGCGGGTTAGTATGAGGAATTCTACGCTCCTGGAGATAGTCAGAAAACAGTCACCTGATACTGAAAATKTTGACTTCAGTCATGAAATAAACAGTCGACACTGATGAATGCATCAGCCAGGCAGCTGCCAGCGGAAGTCATAAAACTGAAAGAGATCCTGCTTCGTTTTTCACTAAATTCAACCCTTTTGTACAAAATTTTGTTCAAGTAAGAGATTCACATAATCACATTTTCAGTTATAAACCTTCAGTTACAGAAACAGGTGCAGACAGACACAAACATACATTGTTTATATTCTGCCAAAAATCATACAATTCTCACAACATGCAGCACATGCAGGGTCGTGCACTACGGACAGACAAGAAAAGTAAGGGACTTAAACTTGTTTGCCTTTTTACATTTTTGAAACAAGCTAGTTTATGTTTGAAACTACTTTAGAAATGTATATTTTATATGAAAATRCAAGAAATTAAACTGATCACAGAGCTCTAAAGGAATAATAACAAGCATGGCGTTTGGTGTTGCACCCATCTTTATTGATCAGTGGTTAAAAGGTCGTCAAATCTCAAAGCCCAGAATCAGTTTGAGACCTGTTCTTGTGCAGCTTTTTTTGTAATCAGAAAATAATTAAGAGACAAAAAATAAAAATAAAAATACAACAACAACATTTGAACCCAATTCTCTGGTTCGCTTGTTGCAGTCACTTTAAAAACAAAATACAGTTTCTCAAGTACCATGTAAAAGAATAAAATTTGAGCAGTGATAAGAAGTGCATCTGAAAGGAACAACTGTACTTTTAAACAAACCTCAATCTCCCCAAAGCTCAGATGATTACATAATACTCTGTTAAAAAAAGAAGAAAGCTTTGAAAATATAATTACAGCTGGTTTGGCATCTATTCGTAAAATAACGTAAAGCAAGGAAGCGTGGCACATATAAATAAGACAGGTTTCTTACTTCTGTATAACATTACAGTTAGGTSATTTGAGCCTAATGTGCAAGACTTAAATCCAGATTTTTATTCCTCTCGTTAAATCTACATCCAAAAATATGACTGTTTGACAAATGAGCTCCCCCACTAACAGATTAAATAAGACATTAGTGACCGTTTTGTTCAGTTTTGATTAAAAACTGAAAGTGAAGGAAGAAAGAAAACGGTTCAAAATTCTGCAAGAGATTAAAAAGAAACTTGTATACATTTTATTTACATCTGAGCTGCCAAAAAGTATAAAAGTATCAATATTCACAAAAGATTTACAATAATCTGAAGATCAGTAGGTCCAAAAACTCCTGCTTTTCTTTGCCCAAATTCTAAAAAGAAGTATTCACCCAGTGTTTTTCTTTTTCTTTTAAAAGATAAGGTAAAATATAATACATTTAAAATGGTTTATAGTGCAACTACCTAAATATTTTTTAAGAACTGCTTTAAAAAAGTAACATATCAAATATTTAAATGAGCGTTTTGTGCATATTATTGCTGTAGACTTGAAAGAGGAAGGCACTGTGGCCCTGATAGACTGAGTTTTCCACAGGACTGGAGACAGAGTAAGGTTAGAGGCGTTCCACGGTTTCATCACACGATGGGTAAAAAATATTTAAAAAAACAAAAACAAAACAAAGGGTTGCAGGGTTGTGCAGGAAAATTCGGTGAGACACAGTAGGCAAAAAAAAATAGATTTCTGAGGTAAAGGTCACACAGACGTCGTCACTCTCTCTGCAGCATTATTGACCTCGTTTTTATTGGAGTCCAGAGCTTTGGCTGCAATCAGGTCATTGCGAAGGTTCTCTACTGCTTTCTTCATGGTTTTCAGCTCGCCTGGGTGAGGGGTGGCCCGTCGGAGGAATGTTCCCTGTGTGGAGGGAACAAGCTGGGTTAGATATTCTGATTTAACACGTCAGCTCAGAAAAGATCACAGTGAAGGCATAAAAATAATAAATAAAAATAAAGTGACAACATAAAGAATGATCAGGACTGAAAATGCTTAAAGAAAAATATAGGGATGCACGATGCATCAGCAGTAACGGTCGCACAAGCAAAACTGGACCGATATTAACATTCAATACCRATTTTACACTTTTTAGCTTTGTGTTTCTGTTTCTGGAGGGGAGATTGTTGGTCAAGCAGCATCTATTTGATCGTGATAGTGATACTGATGCTGCGCAGCCARGAGTAACTGAAGTAGAGAGCCATGTCAGCGTCTGGTCATTTTTTTACAGTATTAAAAAAAAAAACACAAATGTGTTTGTGCGCATACATAAAAAAATATATTGTGGGTTTGTGTAATATTGGTAAATATCAGTTATCGGCCATAACAGAAATATTAATATCGATAYTGGCTGAAATTTTCATATCCGTGCATCCCTAGAAATAAACTTTAACGACAAATCCAAAGACATGACATGAAATCTGGGGGTTTAAGACATAATACATGTGGTCAGGAATAATTTTATTCTGTACCGTTTCAAGTCAGTTCAACATTAGGMGTTTTATTTTGATTATTACTCAAAATACACGCGTAGTTGTGAGTTTTATAAAAAAAAAATTAAAAAGGCTTGACACTGGAACATTTACGATTGTTTGAAAGCCCAGATGAGGATTTAGGTTTCGGGGACACATGCAGGTTTTGGTTCATTTTAAAACAAGGTAGAACTTGACGCCTGCCCTAGACTCGTCTGCATTTAAAGCACTGAGCATCACTTTACCCAACCTTCAGCTTTGAGCTTTGACTCCAAAATGTTTTCAGACCTYCGTTGGGCCAAGAACAATTATCATATTAATTTGAACTGAAATMAATAGCTCTGTTCAGGWGATACAGTGCACACAAGACAGTGTGACAGACGGAATTTCGCAAACACAGACAGACAACCAAAAACATCCGTATGCCTCCGGGCGAAGGAATAATAATAATGAAGGTTCAGAAATAAGCTGTGATAGCTGAATCTGAATCATCACTGTGACAACTAGGAAACTTTCAGACAGAAACATTGCGTGGCTAAGCAACATGATTTCAATCAGCAACAAAGGAATGATGGAAAATCTACTGGGATTAAAGCAGTTGACTGAAAAGTTTCTGTGCATCACAGCCATGAACATGGAGAACGACTGATGACGTTACACACACTGCCTGGCCAAAAACAAAAAAAGTCTGCTGCATCCCTCGTTTCTCAGTTCTCCATGAGTTTGGGTCATACAGTTCGATTAACCTTGCCTAAGCCATAGTGACACATTTACTTTTTAAAGGGGCAATATTATGTGTTTCTCAGGCATACATTTAAATACTATACCATAATAATGTATCATCTTTATTATCTTTTATGTCATCTTTAGCTGTTATTAAAATGCTGTTTTTATGTTTAAATAGAAAATAAACTTATCTTCTCATCACTTCCTCTTATAAATGCCTTGAAATTGGCCTCTGTCTCTTTAAGAACCTCCTTCTGCTTCTGTCCCGTACATTTCAGATTTCTCAAACATGCATGAATGAGTCAAAGCAAGGCTATGGGCATGTTTTTATGAGAGTATAACATTGTAACATGATWTAAAAYTCAAAAAAGTTGATTTTACATKATATTGCCCCTTTAAAGTTGTGAAAACACAAATWATAGATTCAAGTCTGAGACCTTAAATGTAATGAATTAGACTCCTCAACTGATGGGATATTCCCACATTAACTGGTTTCCCCTAATTTCTCCACGCTGGTCTCACCTTTGCATCATCGTCCTCATCCTCATCATCGTCTAGGAAGTGGATGGCACTGGTTCTGTTCATGGCTTTGTTGTCCCATGTGTCATCTGCCATGCCGTTCACCAAACTCTCCAGGGCTCCAAAGCGGGCGAGATTGTCAGAGCCTGGAGTTGTTGTTTTTTTTTTTAAAGAAACAAAACAGATTTTGTTTTAATTCACAAATCAAATGATCAGGACAAAATATATATACTATATTTAAAGACGAGTGAAAATTCAGCAGGTTTAAATGATGTTGCTCAGCTCAGTAACAGAGAGCTGTGATGAGTCCTGCTGCTAATAATGAGAGAGACTGAAAGTGCCAGATCACAGTTTCAAATCCCAGCTTAGTCGCAGAGGCTGACAGCAACACAGCCTTCCCCACCCCCAACCTCAGCCTCGCATCACGACCAACACTGCTTTAATATCTGCATCTCCACCACAGGAGAGGCAGCACACCACAATCCTTTCYTTCTGAAGCAGAAACAAAAACCTTTTAAAAAAATACCTAATGAGTTGCAGAAAATCACAATTAATCTGTGCACAACTCTGGATGGTGGCTCGGGAAAAAAACAGCAAGGATTTCTGCATCGGGGCAGATTTAAAGTCTGCAGTGGCATCGTGGTAGCTTTTAAATGTCAGCCGGCCAGCTGCTGCTAAGCCTCTTTACGACTCCAATCCACAGCATTTCTGAAAACCACAGCCAAGAAAGGCCTCTGGGGACGAGAGAGGGTCAGATCTATCAAAGACGGCGCAAGGCTTTGCAGGACCTCCTAATCGGCACATATTGCAGGATCAGAGGGCTGGCCGAGCAGATCATGTGATAATGCCATCAAAGCCATAAAACTCAAGAGATGACAGAGGAACTGATGAAGACTGTTCCTCAAAATGTCACAGTTATCTAACAGCCTAGAACTAAAAGGTACGCCTGCAAGTAAAAAGCACAAGTCCAAATACACACCTTTAGTCAAACAGTACACCAAAAACTATATCTGTGCTCAGTTTCTGCTTTTAATAGATTAATCACGATAATTTCTTAAGCTTCCACTCGATGGAGCTGCTTACCTTTCAAGTCCGATTCGCAGGGCTGTTGAGGCAGCAGAACGCAGGTGAGCACCTTCTCACCCGTTTCAGGATCCTGATCCGTCTGGAAGGWGAGGAGCGGCTGCGCCTGGTTTTCTGACAACCATAGGGCCTTCAGCCGCAGGGTGGTCAGCGAGAAGGGCAAGTAGGAGAGGCTAAACAGAACGGAAATCATTCATATCAACGCACCACCGTGTATAAGCACCTTCTGGGTTTTAAACATCATTTTATCTACATGTAAGGACGATGGGGAGGAAGGAAACAGATAAGCATGTTTGTGAGTCAAACACAAGGAATTGATGCGAGCGTCTTTAAAAGACAAAACTTTGAGGCAAACAAGCTCAGACAAGCCGATAGTCAAAACAACTGTGTAACTGATCCTTAGGGGACGGAAGTGTTTTACTTTTATTCACGCTACAGAGTTCTGTTTAAGTGATCCACACGTGATGCAAGTTGCACAACATACCGGTTTCCAGAAACGTCAAAGACATGAAGCTCTGTAGCTTGGGACAGCTCTGACGGTATCTTCATCAGTCGGTTTTCTCGGACGCAGAAGACATTTAGACCACTGCAGCCTCCGATCTTTGTAACAATRAAAGCACACAGCAAGGTCAGTGCCTTATTTAGAATTAAACCAGGAAATGTGCAGTCAAAATAAAAGCGTGTTTAAACRGTTTTGTTTCAATAAAAAGCAGACATAAAACAAAGGACAGAGGAGATCAGTCGTGAGCATGTGGGGGATGTGTCCCAGAGTAAGTGATCATGAGTGCAAACCAATGACATGTCAATAGGATGGGGCCGAGGGGACCTAAAATTAGGCCTAAGATCCAGGCAAAACGATTTAAGCATCAGTTATATTCCAGGAGTAACCGCTCAGATATAAATGCTAATATTTGTCATGCTTAAAGATGTTTGCTTTCTGGAATATTTTAGTTTTAAGTGAAACAATAGCAAAGGAAAACATCTGTGTTCATTAAAAGCCCAAAACGTTTCTGGCAGAAAACATGTTAAAAACAACTAATCAACAGTTAATAGAATCAATAAAGCCCTGACAACAGTCAAGTTGCTTTGCAAAGCTCAAATCAATCCTCAGGCCATTACAGTGTGATTGGTGTAATGTTCTGAAAAGCTGAGTGTAAAATTAAATTAAACAAAAATAAACTGGTTTAGTGTGGCCTTGTTATCTGGGCTAACTGTGTTAAACTGTTAGTCCTCCCTTCACACTGCAGGCTTTTGCATCTTCAGGACACAGGCGCCTTGTGTAACATTTAAAGAAGCCTTTCAGTTTCAGCTTTAAAACCGAGGGTGACTTCACTTCAACAGACAAGAGGCTGAAGAAGGACGTCACTCAAACACAATGGAGACACTCAGGACACGGCTGAAGCTGAACAACCAGGAGACTGAGCCGTGAAAGAATACGAGAAGACGACAACCATGTGCATTGTAGCGCAAAACGTGGAGTTTCATTACAGCATTGTGAGATAATTAAAAGAGCTAAATAAACATTACATTTTTTGTCTTAACAGGGTAGTGTCGCGTATTTTACAGGCACAAAGTTCAATTCTATACTACAATTAATGTTACCTTAAGTTGTTATGAAAMTGTTTTTTGTGTTTATATCAAAATAAAATAAATTTGACTTTGCATCGTAGCATATTTAAACATCTTAAAATTGGCCTCTGTTGCACTTTACAGCWAACAGAGTTATTACGGTAACTTCACTCCCACCTGCGAAGAACATGATGAAGAAACCCTTCCATCTTAGACACGAGTCATTTGGCCAATCACAACTAAGATAGACGATCTATCTTAACTATAAATGGCTAAATGATTGATGTTCCATCAAAGATCTTCTATTGTGAAGAGAGCCACCCTGTTTCTGATACGAATCCATGGGAAATTGTGCCAACTCCCATGCCTCTGATCCCCCACCAAAAAACTCTTCGGAACTAGATGATTCACTGAAGTGACCTAATTAGTTTTAAAGTTGGTGAATTTTGCTGAAAATCCACAAGTTTACAGGTATGATAATACAACCGCTTTAAAACAAACTTCTTTTAAAGCAGATAATTCATGTTTGTCATTTTGAAGAGCTGCTAYGGCTGTCACAGCTCTGTTGTCACAGACAGCAGCAAACAAATTGTTTTAAAGTAATAAATCTTGTCTTTTTTTAATCAATTAGTCCCATAAAAACTGCCAAATTATTTGATGAGAAAAGTTGAAAGAGTGTATAAAAATGCTAACTAGTTCAGCTAACTGCTTTTACTTAACTAAATTATGATGGTTGGTTTGGTAAAGGCTTACCTCTTTAGGTAAAACTGTTAGCTGGTTTCTGTCACAGTTTAGGTTCGACAGTCGCTTTAACTTCCCAATACTTCTAGGCAAGGTCTGTAACAACAAATAAACAAAAACAACGATAAGGAGGAATGTAAACATGTGCTTGATGAGGTTTCCAACACATTGGCTGTTTAATAAAAAAGGCACATAAGTTTTCTATTTTCTTATTTGTCTCTTCATGTATTTTATTAAAGTTTAGACTCACTAAGCATTTTGTCCTATTGATCAGTTATCCATAAAAGAACAACATAGTATAACAAATCGTTCATGTTTCAGTTTGATGCAGTGCTCTCATGCACTGTGTTAGTCACACATCACTACACAAAACAAAAAGCCAATAGACCACTCACAGTGGCCATGACTGCAAGGTTTTCTGGTGCACTGCAGTTATCAGAGCCTCTGTGCATTTGGTACAATTTCACTGAAATAAGGAACGGATTCTTTAATATAGTATCTGATAAAATTACTTTTACATGTCTAAATTTAAAATGTTGCTTAACTAATATTTTATCATTAAAAAGCAAACCTTTTGTGCATTTTAACAAGTAAAAATGCTTTTTTATAGCTAGATTTAGTGAAATAATAAAGCCCTGAGTTCACATTAAGAAAATATACATTATTCTTTCAATTCAGATGGGGTGAAATGAGCACCAGAAAAGTGTGGTGATCTGAATGTGCCACCACTTTTTATTCAAGTTTAAAATTAATCATTTCACTTCAGCATTTTAACATATTTAAAATTAAAAAAAGAAAGAAAGAAGAAAAACAAACCTGTAGTTGGTTTTCTGTGAGCACAAGTTCTGTAAGACTTTCACAGTTGCCAATGCTTTCTGGGAGATATGTTATTCTATTCTGGTCAGCTTTTAGAATAGAAAGTTTTTGTAGTTTTCCTGCAGAGACCAAAATATGTTTTATATGTGCGTAAAGGACAAAAACGGTGTGAACTTTACTTAGCAGGATAGCAGGCAATGTTTGATTAATAAGACGTATTAACAAATAGAAATATTTACTTAATAAATAGCAAAAACAAGCATGTTTTACCTATGCTTTCTGGAAGAACTTCAATGACATTCTGAGAGACTAGCAGGTCTGTGAGTGACACCAGGCCACCCAGCTCCTCTGGAAGATACTCCAGGACATTTTCTGATACATCCAGACACAACAGGCTTCTAATATTGCCCATCTCCTAAAGGTTAGAGCAAAAACAGGCGAAGAGGAAATGCATGTTAAATACAGACAAACCCAAATGTGTCAAAGCAGAGTGTTCTGATGTCTGTGCATTCATCACATTTTGACCTGGGAAACCTAGAGACACTCTTAACACAAATATATGTAAATTTACAGTCAGGTGACACATTTAATGAGCATTTTTTACCAATTTCACAAAAAAAATAAAATAAACCAATATCGACAAAAAAAGGCTGTATATTTACAGGAGATATAGGAATATCAACTACATACATTAAATGTGTAAGAAACTTACTGCAGGTATTTCTTTTAAGTGGTTTCCATCCAGCCACAAATCCTTTAAGCTGATCAGACAACCTATTGATTCAGGCTAAGTAAGAGAAGAAAATGTGAAAATTACCAGATAACCATAATCATTAGAAATTATTTTTTTTATTATTATTACAAAACAAAACATAGCAAGTCAATATATTAATC